GACCAAAAAAGTTTGCCCATCCCTGCTCTAAGGTATCATTATAAAATTGCCAAATTCTACCACATTTATAAAAATTTATCACATAATATAAAACCACATATTATTGTTAATTATTCCAAAATCATTACCAAAGTACTTCGGTTGGTGCACCCACGGAGCCAGAAACACAATAAATTTTACGCTATTGTGTTAGTCTTGACCATTCTTTTATTGAAAAGAAAAATAGGATTTTTCTTCCGAAGAAAAAATTTTTTTTTCTTGTGTCTACTGCAAGCTTATTTTAAATTTTAAAATCTATTTTACAGTCTTAAAATAAATAATAAACGTCAATCATCTGAAAAATGTTTTAAGCAGAATCACTAAAGCATTAAATTTGTTCTTGTTAACATGAAGATTGAGTGCAGACAATGTTGTTTGTCGAACCGTTTCAAATTATAATTAAGTTAAATGAGATCGCACGAGAGAATTATTACTGCTTTCAAAAATTTTTACAAAACTTGCATTTCAATTCTTTTTGGAGAAAAAAAATTATGAAATTTTCATAGTTTAGCAAAACTTACTCTTATTATTTGTTCATATAAACATCAGTAAATAAATATTTAATTACAAGAAAGATAATTTAATTATTATCCAAAGACATGCCTCAGTTATACTTATATTGGAATATTACAGCAAACTTTTGATTAAAAAAACCAAACATACATTTTCAATGTATTCATGTGAAGCAAATATTCAATGACTTTTGACTTAAAAATATAAATTAAGAAAAGCAAGGTGCTTATATTGTTTTTCTATTACTATTTTAGAAGAATGACCAACGTTATTTGTGAATTTTTCAATATTTATGAAGTTTGACTTATTTTTCACTATTTTTGCTGTTTGATTAATTTTTTTATATTTATATTGTTTATTTTTAAATATTTGTATTTTAATACTATATTTAATCTTTTAATGGAAGAAAGTACTTTGAAACCCGCAAGATCTCTACATCCAATGGTTAAATAACAAGATAAAACTCTTTCTTCTACCTAGTAATATCAATGCCTGTATTACTTTCGAATTATACGATACAAAATTGATAGATTTTATGAAAACTGTTTTTTGTAAAAATTACAATTTATTTGAATTTTTATTGTTTGCTGATAGAGATTAGTGTTTGGAAATCACAACTATGCAGAAAAGTAAAGAAAGAGACATGGCATATCTCATACTTATCATTCATGAAAATAATTCATTTGATTTAAAAGACTTCAATCCCTTTATTTTATATGAAAAATAGTTTTAATATTATTATTAGGAAGTAATTTTTATTTAAAAAAATTTAATATGTTTCTCAGATTACTATTAATCTGTTTATATGCTTCATAATTGAATATCATGCGAAATACTTTAGAAAACCTAATCTATTTTAGAATTAAGTGATATATTTTGCGAAGTTAGCGAATTATTTTGCTTTATGTATGATGAAACTAAAAAAATCCATTATTCAAAATCAGAAAGCTTCCAAACAAAAATAGTCAAAGGTTAACTAGAAACAGGGTTTTGCATTTCATATAGTGACTAAATTTTTAACATTAAACTGAAGGTTTTTTCTGTCACCTGACAATAAAAACATCGAAAAAAAACTCTAAAACTGAGATAAAATTAATAATCAAAATTTCTAAAAGCAAAAATTTATTAAAATGAAAATAGAAACGAAAGCAAAGGCTACAAAAAAGGTACTTTTTATTGTTTTGAAAGGAATGATTGAAACTAGTGTTCAAACTAAACTAGAAAATATCTATAGGTCTGAAATTCTATATTTTCTAAGTGAAACGAAAAATAAATTAACTAATGTTTAAACTTAACTAGAAAATATTTATAAATCAGCGATTAAATATTTTGTAATTGAAATAGAAAATAAATTAACTAATGTTTAAACTAAACTAGAAACTCAGGAAATAACTTTTTGATAAAATTAATTTCAAACTATTCATTTAAAACGAATTTATTTTTAATCTATTTTTTAATTAATATCATTTTACAAACAAAATGTAATGAATTTTTTAATAATATTGTAAAATTTTTGCTCGCATAGATATGAAATTTTCCATAGAATGACGTTTTAAGATTTTTTACTCATTAAAATGAAGAAAAACTCGATTAATAAGAAACTCATAAAAAATTATTCAAATATTTCTTTTTTAAAAAAATAATTCTGAATATCTGAAATTGCAAAAATAAATCGAAAGCGAAACAATTATTCGTTAACACTGGGATGAAGTTTAAAAAAAAATAGTCTATTTAGTAAATAATTTATTTAAAAGGTAATTAATTCATAATTGATTAGGAAAACTGATTAGAAAAAAACTTCATAATATTCATCAAATGTATTGGTTATTATAAAAGTAGTACGCACTTTTTTTATAAACTTGCAAAAGTAAAATGTAAGTATAGCAAAAAAAAATATTATCTGACCGTCTTATGATGAATTTCCAAAAAACACATGAAAAATTACAGAAATATGAAAATATTTTAAATATAAGTTTATACCATTTTAGATGTAGCTGTTATACGATACGTGGGTAACAATATTAATTATTTTTAATTGAAAAACATGATTAGTATAATAACAGTTTATCCGCAATTTTTGTTGAAATGCATAACACAGAAAGGAATTTTTTTCTAAATTTTATTTTGTGAACAAATCAAAAGTAATTTTGAAATTAATATCATGAACGAATTAAAAGTCATTTAAAAATCAATTTTATGAACAAAGCAAAAGTGATTTGAAAATCAATTTTTTGAGGTAGGTAGGTTCTTATTTCACGTCGCACTAGAACTACACAATGGGCTATTGGCGACGATCTGGGAAACATACCTGAGAATGATCCGAAGACGTGGCATCAAAGTTTCGATCCTCTGCACAGGGGATTTTTTGTAAGAAAAAAATTTAAAATGTTTTGAAAAAAAATTTAAAATGTTTTGAAAATCAATTTTGTGGGCAAATAAAAACTGATTTGAAAATGAATTTTGTGAACAAAACAAAATTTATATCAAAATCTATTTTGTGAACAAATCAAAAGCGACTTAATCAGTTTTGTGAAAAATCAAAATTGATTTAAAAATCTATTTTGTGAAAAAAAAAAATAATTCAAAAATTAATTTTCTAAAAAAAATTAAAAAATGTTTTGAAAATCAATTTGGGAAATAAATCGAAAAAGATATGAAAATTAATTTTTTGAATTATTCAATTACTATATATTATTTTGCATACTTAGTTATGAATTTAATTGCATATAATTACCTGTAATTTACCTAAAATGTTATATTAAACGAAAACTATGTACTAGAATAATTTGTCCACTCTGTATTTAATAGCATCAAATCAAAAACTGTTTGGCATTATGTTTTTATTGATTCATTGTAACAAAGAATAAGAATGTAAAACTTCCACATTTTTACAAAGCATAGAAATGTCATTAACTATCTACTATCTTGTGATAAATGAAATTAGTTGAAAAACGCCCTTAATAATCTCTCTCAACGGGCACGCCATTAAGATGAGGCTATTAATAGAAACTTTTTCGGTTTCCTCCTACTAAATTTCTGTAGGGACTCATTAATAACTTTAAACATTACATTTTTTTGGGCTAAATATAAATATATTGTACTAAATATAATGCTCATGCAATGCTTTAGGTGCATCTTTAAAAACATCATGAATTGTTTTTTGAAATTTGCAAAAAAATGTCTATTTAGTGGTTGTGCGACAATCTGCAGTTACTTAATTTTATCTCTATCGCTTTAATGCTTATATACGGTTATTAGCTACAGATTTCAAAAAATAAATGTTTAAGCAACTTTTTTAAAAAACTAATTTACGCCTCATAAGAAATTAACTCTCTTTTAACTTTATAGTAATTCAATCATATTTCATAGCAATTTATTTGGTAGGCACTTTTTTTTTACCTTAAAAGAAGGTAGATCTAAGATAAGTCTCAAAGATAAATTTAAGATAATCTTTTTAAGTGATAAATTTTAAACATAATCGAACTTTATATTTGTGATATTTTTCAACATATCAGAAAAACATATAAAATATTCGGCATATCATTGTTGAGATGGGAAAAAGCAATGCAAGAGTTAAAATCATCGGAAATTATTATATTTGTCTAATGAGAATGAAATTCCTTTCACTAGCAATCTTCTTAAAACTTTACCTAAAACCTGAAACTTTTAATGTAAAAAAGACTGGCATTAAATTATTCAGATTTTTTTTCTTCACTTAAGTATTAAATTATGAGCCTTAATGATTAGATATTTTTTGCTGCACTTTTACTAGAATTTTAAATATTAGATATTAAGGATAGTCTATATGGAGCACCCTGCATCAATATTAACGGCATATTGTGTTTCAGTTATAATTAACCTAAAATGTTATGTAAATTATTTTTACAATAATTAAAAGAATTATTACAATAATTAAATAATTAAAATAATGTTACATAAAAATAAATTAAAATAATGTTACATAAAAATAAATGCAAATAATGTCTATTATAAACTGTTTATCTTGATATGAACATTGACCTTTACTGAAAATTTAAACTATGTAGGTAAGTCCCAAAATTAATATTAATCAATTCAAATTATAAATTTTGCACTGATTATGAAAAATTTGGCAACATGCAATACAAATATCTCAAATTATTTTGAAAAATTGCATCTTGACCGAAACTCGAATCGATATTTTTTTGTATGAAACATTAGCATTAAGTACGAAATAATACTTTAAATCTCAATAATCAAAATAACAACACCACTAAGAAACGATATGATAAAAAAGAATGTAATTAATAGTTGTTTACAAATAAAAAATGCATCATTTGGCTATTTTTAGATACGAAACTAAACGCTTTGCCTCACATTTTTACGGTGGATACACAAAACGTAAACAAAGCGAATAACATGTGCCTCCATATACTCTCAAAAGAAGAATACATACTACAGAAACTCACCAATCTAATAGCATGAATATCAAACGAAGAACAAGTGGGAGCGTTTTTCTCTTCAGATGTTCTTTAAATCTTTCAGTTTCCTTTTGATATATTCACTATACATCAGAAGTTAATGGACACACCTGGAAATTCTGCTGCCTTACCTCGCTTTGGCGATTGATTCCACCTGATTTTAGGCTGAGAGACGCATGCGCCGGATCGATGCTCATGACGTCATCAATAACGCCGTTATGTGCCTAGGATGGAATGTTGGATTAGTATGTATATTTGAGAACATCATTGGCATAGTTGAAGTTTCTTTTCCTGCAGAGCAGTTGGATATTCAGAAAAGAGTTAACTGATTCATAAAACTTTGTTTCATCAGTGTTTTTACTAATAGACTAAGAAACATAATAAAAACAATATTCAAAATGATTTCATCTCTAAAATCTTTCTCTATTCTCTCTATAAAATATATATTTCTAATTTCTCTACTTTTCGAAAGAATCTAATTATTCAGATTTTCTTTTTTTTTAATATAATAACTAATTGAAACTTAAAACAAAGTAGTTCACTTGCTCATATAATTCACACAAAATAGTATCAAAAATATTTTGCTCATTATTAAATAATAATTTGAACAACAAATGATTTGTATAACGAAATTATTATGTATTATCTTATACTATAAAGAACGGAAAAAATACATTCAATACGAAAGATTTATTTTGAAATACTTGAGTTCTGAAAGTACTTTTGCTTCATTTAACCTGTTTTTGATGACCATTAATTTAACTTTCTTAGTCCCAACTTTCTCCCAAATTTCAGATGCAATTTTTTTTTCATGATAAAAGCGATTTTTTTTCCATATTATTCAATGGCTAATAAATACTTAGCAAAGGAATTTCAGTACATTTTAAGCAGAGGCTTTATCTACGTATCAAGAGTTGCAATGAAAAAGCAAATGTTACAACTTTTGGGAGAAAACCCATATGAAATGAAACAAATAGAGATGTAAGGATTTTGTTAAAATGAAACATGATAAATTCACCATCTAATATTATATGTATTTACAATATTCAGGGTGTTCTTAAAGACTGCTCTTAATATGTATTTCGAGAATCCTTATCAAACCTGAAACAACAAAAAAACATACACACTAGGGATTAAAAATTATTATTTAATTGAAAAAAATTTAATTCGTAACAAACAATTCATAACTTATGCAACAAATCAAATGAACTCTGATATTTTTTAATAGTATAATGTGCTACATTTATCCTTTCCCAAACTTAGTCTTTAATTGATAAGAGTTCTTTTAACTCTATTATTTTCTTATTCTGCATTGCAAAATTAAAACTCACAAAACAGCAACTATTTGTAATCAAGAATGTATTTGTTTCAATCACTTCAAAATAGGAATATAGAATGTTGTTGCATATATCCAAGTCTATGAAGTCCAGCAGTGAACTGATCGTTAAGGCACGGTTCCCAGCAGATCACCGAAGTCAAGCATCACTGGCTGCTGTCTGTGTGCGGGTGGATGATCACTTGAATTAGTCTGCGTAGGGACTGAGGGTGTGCGGTATTAGTCCTCGTTAAACTGTGCTACCGTAAAGTGCTCGACTTGACGAGCAGGTCATCGGGCTACCGAAGCGGGGGTGTCGGGGTGTCATCCCCTCTGCAGAGGACCAAAAGTGTGACGGCATGTCTTCGGATGATCCTCAGAGATGTTTCCCAGACCGTCGCCAATAGAACATTGTGCAGCTCTAGTGCGACGTAAATGAACTAAACAACAGCAACCAAGTTCATGAAATCTGTCACTCTAGGAAAGTTTAATACTAGAATTGGGTTTGGGAAAAGATCTTGTCTGGAAAGCCCCAAACAATCTTGTATATGTTCTGGGGAAACCTGATGGTTAGCATACTTCACACAATTTAGGAAAAACCTTTTTTCATTGGAATAAGACAGAGATCAGAAATGTCCATTGATAAGCCTAGTGATGGTCGTCTGGTTCCGCGTACAGAACTTGAATGATAAGGCACCTCTTGGGCACTTTCTTTGGTACCATTGGTGAACAGGTGGGATGGTCCAAGAAGCATTTTCAGCTTTTTTATTTCTTGAGAACAGCTCCAAATAAGTTAGTGAATCAGGTGCATCCAATGGCTTACCAGCACCCACTTTAGCCAAAAAATCTGCCGTCTCATTTATACCACAATAATGATGCACGAAATGAATTCAAAAATTACAAAAAGAAAACTAGTTACAGACGTATAAGAGCTGTTGTGGATGCTAAAGAATGCTCTATTATATGTTAATTTAGGGAAAAATTAAAATATTACAAATAGATGGAAACTTTTCATAAGACTACAATGAGTTTTGTGGGATAAAGTTTTTGTTACGTTTTGATTTCTTAAAAATAAAATTTTAATATGTTTTTAAAATATTTCAAGTAGTTTTGTTAAGAATGGGTTATAGATTGTATTATTAAATATTCATTCAGAAATATTCATTTACGTCTATAGATATTAGTTTAAAGATAGAACCACTCTGCTGGAGAAGTATCACTAAAAAATCATTTGAGAGGGTTATTAGACATTAGTGTTGGAGTTTTTACTCGTATTAAAACCTATATCGAGATCTCGTGACAAAAATGAATCATTTCTGTTTGGATCGATTAGTGTTTTCTCTTTGCGTGACATGCACAAGAACTTTAGAAGTTTCACGAGCATTTTTTTTTTTGCAGCCAGTGATGTATGAAGGGATAAATATTTACCTGTCGCTCTTTGTGAGGCATGTGATTTGCTGTAATCGATGACAGAATATCAGACAGAAGAGAAACTATCGTTTTCCATAAAAATAATTTTCAGTATAGCTTTCTGTCATGCAAAACATTATAAGAAAAATTATTAGGTTAAAATTTTAGAAAAAGTTCTTTTTGGTTTTAGGATACTAAAAATGAAATAAAAAATTCACTAACCGAAGCACATATATGCAAAATTTTATTTTCAATGCAATTTTGTTTCAAAATTTTGATCTAGACTTATTTCATTCTATTCTATTTTATTTCTATTTTGTTCTATTCAGACATGTTTGCGAGTATTTATATACTTCTACATTTTTCTTTTAAATACTTTAGCAAGTATTTTAAGAATTTTGATTAGCCAACATAATTAATCAACATTAATTATCGCTTTCAGAGACCCATAATTTAAAATAAATCAAACAGTAAATAATTGGAACTTTAAATATTAGTTAGCCATAATAAATTATTTGAGTAGCATACACGTATTCAGACATGCAAAAAAAAGGAAAATATAATGTTTCAAGCACTTCGTAACTAATATAGAATAAAAAGAAAAAAACACGTTGTCTATTAACACTAAAAACGAAAAACGTTAAGTGCAACACTTTCGAAAAACATAGGAGCATTTTAATTGGTTAAAGAATTTGATTACGGAACATTCATTTGCTGTTATATATCTAAACTGCTGTTTGTAGAAAATGCAACACCATGAAGGAATCATCAGAATCAAATGAAATATTATTTTAATAATGGATNGATAATTCACTGTCCCTTGCTCCGAGATCTAATACTATAATACTAAAAGAACTTTTTTTTAGAAAAATTAATTATTTGCATTGCTCTTAGCATTTTAAAATGACTTTGCACTAGCATTGACTGTTTTGTATAGTTAAAAAGTTTAATTGAACTTCAAAATGTCATTTTCCTGGCATGTCCCAAACAATGTTTCCAATAATAACTAGCTTCAAAACTTCCCATTAATTTTTCAATATGTAATTTTTTTTATCTCAACCTATGTAAGCATTTCTAGAATATACGCAGAGGGTATTATTTACAAAAACTTCGTTTAAAATAATTTTTTCTGTCAATAATTTGCTTGTCCCAAGAAAATCTGTCATTTTCCTGGCTACTTTTGTTTAGTGATTTATAACCAAAATAGATAGAGACAGCAATCAATATCTTATGTTAATAGATCGATTAGATTCCCTCCTATATGAGCATGTCTTGTTGCATGATTAAAGAACCAATTTTCTGGTTCAAAATCTATTTCAAAAAATTTTTCAATATGAGTAGGTTTATGGGTTGTCATTTTCCTGGCTTCCTGAAATCATTAATAACATAAACTACATAGATTTATCTGAGTTATTTTAAGAAATCCTGTTGTTTTCTGCAAAATGCAAACGTCTCAGGCCAAAATATTATATTGAAGTAAACTTATATGCTATAAAATGGCGAATTTGTCATTATCCTGGCTTATGAATTCCAGGACATTGAAGTGCTACCAGAAATTTTTTTAACTGCTCTAATACTGTAAGGAGGACAAGCAAATATTAACATAATACCAAGTTTATGTATGATTGTAATGTGGTTGGATGTAATCAAAGTCATTTATTTATTTAATGAATGATTATTATACCCAATTTAACTCTGTACATATCAGCAACAAATAAAAATTTGATTCTTTCTACAGTGGATAAAAGAATTAATTTAAGCAATTTATGGTCCATCTAACATAAAGGCTTGAGTTGAGTTACTTACTATTATCTTAAAATGACAGTTTTTTTAAACTTTTAAGCTAAATATGTCATTTTCCTGGCATAAAAGATTTGGTGAATTTCTATTTTTTTTTCTTTTCTCGAGCAAATGTCAATAAACTACACTGCTGTCTGTAAGATATTAATAAATGTAACTAAGAAAGTATACAAAAAAAAATTTAGATTATTTCGAAGGCTTTAAATTTGAAGACAATCTTTGGTCTGAATTGTCATGTTTAAAATGAATCACCCATATATATATATATATATAGCATAATAAATAAATACAAAACCACGAAGAAAATTAAGAAAAACAATAAGTAATTGCGCATAAGCTGCAAGTAAATAGAACTCATAAAACAAGTTCAAAATGAAGATAAAACAAAGGAAAATCACAGACAAATGAAAAAAGGGGGGAAAGGAAAATTAATAATAAAAATAGCAAAAACTGGGGGGGGGGGGTCCAAANGGGGGGGGGAATCCGATAAAAGGATAGAATTCTTTTAAAAAAAATCCGGAAAATAAACGATATAATGTTTTCATCAGCCCACGCGATTATATCCGAGAAAAAGAGTGCTTTCTAATATTGTATCATTTGATCATTCGATCACGATCATTTGATTTCGCTACTCTCTT